CCATGCTATTTTTAAAAGACAGTCCTAATAATGTATTCATCTTAGCTACGGTTAGTACCGGGTCACGCATTTCGCTAGGCTAGCTTTGATTTTTCATGAATCTCTAAAGCTATCCGTTTGCAAATAGTGAATTAGTAATCAGCTCTAGTTCAACCGCTAGACAAGCGATCGAACACATACGTCTGGCAAGACAAAATATGGTCTACACGAGCATCCGTGTTAAATGCATTGGTGTGAAACTAGTGAAATGCAAGTACTGGCCGGAACACGTTACACTGTAGACCTGCGCTTGTGGGATAACCTTCTATATAAACATGTAATTTTTCTACTCATTGCGTTGCTGACCATGGACCGCACACGAAACTCCCCAGCCAAGCTTATTCTGATATCCATCTCTACAAAATGGCGCAACATATAAAGTTAACTTGCCACTTGGAAACTTATTAACCTTCAAATTGCTAGATATTGCAATAAGGATTTGCAGGAAATGCCCGTAATTTATTATCCAAATTTTGTAAGGTTTCTACTTTCGTTTTCCAACATTGGCCATTGAGTTTCTATGATATACAGCTAAACATTTCCACAAATACTTATCTCTTAGGTGTCCACAATACGGAGCAATCTGAAACGACATGTAAATTCCGTCTGAATGGAGCAACATAGATATTTATTATAAAAATGTATTTAACCTAATGGTAGGATGCTTTCTGAACGGTTGATAATTCGGCACCTCCTGTTATTCACATGACGTTCGTACAGTTCGCTGACAGACAAATTCTCAGCATGCGATTTCTGTATGATCAAACTGACAACAGTGCTGCTGGTTGTTCTTCGAAACGTCAGATTGTGCAGACGAAATTAATGCGTGCCAACGAGTCTTAATGTGGCGCTATTTTTCCAATAAAGTAGTGATTACCTAAGTTTGGTGGAGTGCTTGTCTTCAATGCTTTTTGAATCTTATTCTTCTGAAGCTCTCCTATGAATTTACAGAAGCCCAGTTCATTAGCAAATATAAGTGTAAGCGATAGTATTATTTCGGTATTTCTTCTTCGGCCTAATGCCTATAATGCTGCTCTCAATCAATCAAACAATCATTTAGCATAGTGGGTTTGTTAAAATGCGTATAAAGTCTCAGTTTACCGAACGTCAACCATCGCTAATAATCTGGTCAACTTCTGTGCTTGCATGCGATTTAGCCGAGTAAAGATCCCAAGTTAAATGGGCCAGGGCAACCGTAAGGCATGAATAGATCGCTTCGGACTGCACCGGTTTATTTGGTGCAAACGAACTGTGACAGCTTTATCGTCCTTCAGTATCCGTCTTAACTAGTACCTAATAACATGTTCGGGGTATTATGGATAATTTTACGTGCGTCGGCTTGTTTAGGGCTGTGCTCTTTGTCAGTGAGGTGGGCAGCTATGGAGGAGTCACACGCTATTCTGATACCAGCCGCTAAAACTCCTGGACTATATTCTTTCACTCTCTCGAAAAGAAATCTAATAGTGCTACCAAGGTAGCTTGCTCCAAAGAAGAAAGCTAATACATAGACGGAAGTAGGGTTGATGGGAGCTGTTCTGCTATCCTTGAGAATGAGCTTTACCATCGGTTTGCCTTTGAAGTATGTATAACAGTGCTATCGAGAAGCTGTGTCTGTGCTCCTTAAATAGAGGACGAGTTGTGATTACGGTCGCGAATTTCAATTGTACGGGAGCTGTAAGGAAAATAATTTTCTTTTGGCGGTTAAAAGCACTGGTAAGTAGTTTCGCTGCTCCATGTGGACGTTTCTGATGAAATCTGGATAAACCATTTTCGCGGCATCCTACTTAATAATTGTAGTTCTACTAAATATGTAACATGCGAGTAGATTCGGCTTTACTGACAGGATTAGTGAATAAATCCTGTTACAATTTCATTTGAACAAATATGTGTACGTTGGTTTTCTGGCCATTCCAAATAACTTTGCTATATGCATGAGGATGTACTATCTTTTTACCGAATATCTTCAATCCCACGTCAGAAAAGTAAAAGCAACTGTTTTATTCTACCTACGCAGTAAGTTACATAGCTAAATGGGATCGGTTACAATTGTCGATAAATGCTTCGATATGCTGAGTAGGCTGAAGAGTCATATATACATCATCAACATAGCTAGGCTAGAAGTTAAAACTTGTGATGTTTATGCTTAAACACTATTATTCAAACATATACTTGTAAATAACAGCCGGCCCAGCCCAGGCGGATAATTCATGGTCACCCCAATTTGCCTCCGTTAAAACTGCCATTAAATATAGATTGGACACTGGACGTCCATACGTACAAACATTCCCTCAACGATACGTGCGTAAGCCCATATTTATCCCAGCTCCATCAACGTATTTGCAGAAGTAATTTATTGTCTCAAATATCAACACGATTGTGAACAATGAGGCGAAATCCAAAGAACACCTGGTCAGACCCAAGGCTTTCACCTCTTCTTTTGCGCCTACAATTTCAAAACGATAAATCAGACTGTGCGCAACTATCCGCTTTCGGGAAGGCACAAATATATTAACTAGCCACGTGGCGGTACAATGGTATATGGTGTCCTTCATATCGAAAACCGGTCACCGTGAAATATTTATCTTATGCTTTTTTGGGTAGATCGTAGTCAGATTAACCGTACCTACAGGGAGCACCTACTCAAAAAGCTCTTTAGTAATATGAACCTAAATGTATAGCTTCGTGATGTGATCCGAATTTTGGCCATCGGATTTTTTATACATGTATTTCCCGCCTAATCTCTTGGACAACTTTGTCGATTCCACCAGTATAGCGTTCGTTTTATCAAGACAGTCCAAATATTCCGTAAGTAACTAACCAAATCCTTTCCTTGTCTAGAAAGCAGGACATCTTGATCGCTAGCAAGGAGAGTGAATGTCTGAATGTGCTCTTCTCCCACGGATGTTGTTTGGTATCCGTTCGCTACAATATTGATAACAGGCTATACTAGTGATGACTATATCATGGTAGTGTAAATTGGGATGCGGGACTAATTGTGAGTTCTGCAAGAATACGTTTTCTTATTGAGCCTCATTCGCTATTCCGTTATGTATTATTTTAATAAGGCAGAAATTGGCCATGGTCGCTTTGTTAAAAAAACAATTGGGCACGTTGCAAACTCTTAAAGCTTACCAAAAAACGACCAAGAAATTACGAGTTCAAAGCGCTTTGTAAACAATCGTTCGGAATAATAGTTTGATAACATTTGGATCTTGGCAAAAGCTCTTCATCAGACTAGGTGAATCAGTGTGCAATCAGCGAATATTTCATAGCAGACGAAAACTGTGTTACCTGAGTCTTGAGCGACCGTGTGATTGCAATCATAGTTTGTGTTGTTACTTCAGTTGGTTCAGTCACAGTAAAGATATTCCCGATGTTCCTTTCGGTGAATCAAAAGTCTGGTAGAGTTAGGTAGACGACACTGTCATACTTGTTAAACCGGACAAGAAGGGCTATTTGCTTGATCACTTTAACTAAATTGATGATACATTTTACTGTTGAGTTGGAAGGTTTAACGGAACAATATCATTCTTTGACTGCCTGGCTCACAGGGATAGGGAAAATATAAAGTCGAGCATATATTGCAAGCCAAAAGCTACTGCCGGCGTTCCTCACTACACTTCGGGTCATCCGAAGCTGGTTTATGCTGGCAGAGCTTCAGCGCTGTTCTGAAAGTCACAAACCCTGTGCACAATGGAGGAGGACAAAAATGCCCCGCGGAAAATAATAGGAGGCAAACTATTAGGTAACTTTCCCTACGGCGGCTAGTCAAACGCCAGTTACAAAAAGTGCTAAACGGACAGTCAATAGCCAAAACGGAGTGGACAGGGACAGTAGCAATTTAGTACAAGGTAGGCTTTTCTGAGGCTATTCGGAAGGTAGTGTACAAGGAAAATATTAGTGTGATGTACCAGGGCGGTTAAACGCTACGTCCGGCGCTGATGTACTTAAAAGTCCCCCATCCCAAAGATATGACGGCTAACTATGTATCCAAAGGTTAATATAAGGACTGTACACATGTATACATAAGCCAAACTGCGAGAGAGTTAAGCCCACGAATTTCAGAGCACAGGAGGCGCATTGCAATACCACCGACAAAAGAGTTTGAATACCATGCAGTCATAAGTACACGGTCGTGGCTGTGCATATGTAAGACACGAGTCACCAGATGGCTTTAGATAACTTAGTGGTCAACTCCCCAGCAGTGAATAGAATGAAGTAGAATTCTCTAGTACGTGGCCAGCTATCTTACGTCTGCCAACCTGACAGGCCTCAGTGCGCGGATCAGATTAGAAAGTGCAAGTTGACTCTCATTATTATCACTGTCGTCTTATCCATCAAAGCCATGAAGCACAAAGGAACAGCTGGATTATTCCAACTATGGTAGAACAACTTGAGGTAACACAAAAACTGTGACTGCAATGACACCTTGGCTCAAGTCTTGATTAAATTAGTTATCGCCCCTGTTTACTATAAAATTCTACTCCAATTGCTCGCTGATTTACCTGGTCTGACGAAGCTCTTGCGTCAAGAGCCATAAGTTATCAACCTACTATAACAACCGATTATTTCTAAACCTATCTAAACTCGAGTATGCCGGTTTCATAAAGTTGACTGAGAGTATAATATTGTAAAGTATCTGAAACTAGAGGTTAGGAAAACAGCCTTAAACATCGGCCCCTCAGGTAATCAGAATGAAGATTGACTAATTTCATATGATTTTATTTGGCTTGTTGGCAAATCGGATCTTAGATATACTTACTAGCATAGTTTTAACTTCCTGTTCCGAGGTATTTCATTACCAAATCAACAATATCCGTATCAAACTTCATAAATACTATTTATTCTACACCGAGATATTTCCTAAAGCCCGCGCGTGATATCTGTGTGCTAATCTGTAGTTTCTGACTGAGTGAACGCATTAAGCTGATTGGCATACCTTTCTTTTCTAATCGTTTCAGCGTCCGTGGTGCCACATGCAGGTAAGCTATTGCTAGCCGTGCACAACATTTCACTTAAAATTCAATGAGCAGTAAAACTTTATACCAAATTCATATACGTGTCGCAAATTCACCTGAGATAACTACCAATGTGAGCTCGCATTTAGTATATTGCGATTTTAAATAACGTACTTTTTATATTTCCCGAGGGGCTGAATATATTTCCTAAATATTGTACTTGTGATGCTGTACTAATATATACTCTAAAATGAGCACATTCAGGAATATCATGAGCAATGCTGCACTATCCCGAAAAGTATATTTCGCAGACCAGAAATGGATTTTCACATTTGGTGTCCGGATACAACGCTATTAATTTCCTTTGCTACCGGAAATGTCTCAACCGATATATGCTACAACTAATGGACAACTTAATTATGCACAATATTGACTGTAGGGTTGCGCAATGCAATTGTTTCTGTTGAATGACTTTATAAAGAAGTGCGAATTATTCGACTACAGATCTGCACTGTTTATAAAATTAATCGCCCGTTAAAGTAAATAAATACATATTTATTACTTTGCTCACGTTGCACAGATCATATATGGAACGTATTTCATTGAAGCATAGTTCATATTTAGAATGGAGATTTGCGATAATATGATAATATGCGCAATAATAAGGATTGTATTGGACAAATTAAATGCAGTTGCTTGCGAACCTCTGAATAAAATGAAGTCATACGACATCTCTGCAACAACCCTGCTTATGTTCTCGAGATCAGTTTGCAACACTAAGTTTAAACTAACTATATGGTTTATCAGCTAAATTAGAAAAAGGAATTATTTAGACCGTATGCTTGTTTCTATAGAATTCCCCTCTATTATATTTATTGCAATGTATGCTCCCTGTCTCTTCGTTGCTGCTTAGAAGCTGGCTACCTCTTTCACTCGCTTGGTCTGCTAACAAATGATGCCCACCTTTTCGTGCAAAGTAAGTCAAGCACGCGTTCATTTTTTGTTTTAATTTCGACTTTTCTTCTGTGCGTATCCATGTAACTTGTGCTCAAAACCCACTAACCAGTCTCATGGTACTTGTTTCGAAACCAAGCGCACTGAGCAAACCACACGAACCACTGAGATGGTTCGATAAGTTCATACTAATGTGCCTCGCGACATTGCGAAAACGAACATCCGTGAAATGGCAAAGCCTCACTCAGGGTCATTTCTCTGCTGTAGCGGTTAATAAAATACCGGCGCATCTATGATACTCTATTAGTACATATGCATCGTGATATGGTTTTCACCTACACCAGGTTGTTTTAATCAAAACAAGTAGAGCGATTTTGAAGGTAGCTCTCATGCGCCAGACAAAGGTCAGATGTGATGTCGTTACTAACCAACAAGGTTCATTTACTTTTTTACCTTCCTATATACCTTAAATAGGACTAGGAATACAATAGCTGATTTAGGTGATATTTTTGCACTGCCTTTTGTATTAGAAGTAAAATATAGATATGAAAGTTCCGATTTGTAAGCAACATTTAACACGTATAAGTCAACCATCAGTTTGTCCGAAAGGATGATGATTCGTGCAAACCCGGCCGTCCCCGTTGGGCTGTAGACTACAGGCAACCAGCTTGTCTCATAATCTTGCTGCGCGGGTTCGAATCCGCGTGGAGGCGGGTTTCCTCGCGGTTTACTCACACATAGTGCGACTGGTGGTGGTGGCGCGGCAGCGTAGAGCCGTTACGGCGCACAGTTGACGCATTATTAACCATCAGTTTGTTCGTCAATAATAAGCCAAACTTTAAATCTATTAGACAGCTGGATAGATGTCACACTTGTCCCATATAAATACTTTCTCGTAAATAGATATACATACTATTGATCACTCGTCAAGTACAAGCAGTGCAATACCAGACAGTGTTGTAACTACTAAAGCAAACTCTATGATATGCATGTTACAATTCACGATAGCAAACTACGGTTCATTGTACACGCCGACGCATTATACGTAAATGTTGAACTTAAAGTTAGGCTGACTTGACTGAATACAAATTCGGTCGAATGGCACATGTACAAAACGTTAGGTTTCGACAAGCAATTTTTGTAGTGGATATAATCGCGAATGAATGAGCGATGAAACTTCCTGGACGTCTACATACTTCAGTAATAAAGTATTTTGGTGTATGACGATTCAGAGAAATTAATTGCTCTTTGTCTAATAATGGTTACTGCTAACAGTTGGAACTGTGTTACTACCTGACGTAGGTTGGTTTTAAAACTGGGTGCGAAGTTATTTTTAAAAAGTTTGGTTTCGGTAAACTACCGGCATCCAAACACTTTTCTCAGGTTTTGCCCTGCAGTAGGCATCAACAAGTATGCATAAATACGTTAGCAATGTTAAATTATTTGATTCCTATAGTCTGTTTCCAATGGTTATTTATATGTTAGTCAAATTTTATACATGAAACGTTTGTACATTCGTTTCAATATCAGTGTTGGAAGAACTCAATGAAAAGAACTACAAGACTCTGGTGAAACTCCTTAGACACCACCACTGTAAGTGTATACAACTATTAACAGTAAAAACTTTTACAGCTTCTGTTAGGATTACTTGATGCTGCAGTATTATTTTAATTTCTGCAGTCACCCGATGCAATATATGCAATAGCGGTATAACGTCATCTGTACTCGGATTTAACATAGAATCTAGCCAGCGTAAATACTGAAGAACGTGCACGGCGTAATCTGTAAGCTTCACTCGCTTTTTCTTATACAGCTTCCTCACTAGCTGCGGCAGATTACGACGCAATGCTACAGACTTGGATGCAGATTGCCATAGGTATGTTTAGTAACTGATGATTTGTTCATGCTTTTCTCAGACGGTAACAGTCCGGCATTTTAAATGTAGTGGATCAAATTAGAAGGTAGAAGTCGAAGGCAAACAAAAGGGGAACGTTATAGTTGTTACATAACTTAGTATTGCTTAGAGCCCCATAATTTTTATTAGGGGAATGCAGCGAAATCCCATCTTAACCTTACAATGCTAGCAAAAAGCCATGTCAACTGCGCAATCGCATTCAAGTATAATTGTAGCCTTTATTTTATAGTTTTTTCTATTGGCTTACAAGCAACGTGCATTTTTCATTTATTTGGAAAATATTTCACTCACAGTTTCGCATTTATTGTTGTATAAACTGGAAGATAACTAATAAGATTTGACAAACACCGGTTACCCAAAAGTGTTAAACTTTAACGTAAACTGCTGCAATGGTCAGATGAATCGACGATAAAATATGTTGTTTTTTCTTAAAACATAAATAAAACTTTAATTTTCAATTTTAGTCGTTTTCTGGTGAGTATAGGAACGTCTACCTTATTTTAAACTAATCGATATATTGAGTAAAATCTCTTTTATCATTCCAAGCGCATCTCAAGTTATATGGCATGAGTTAACTCAAGATAATATGTTAGTTTGCCGGCCAGTTAACTATTCTTTGTAAGGTCCTTAGTAACGTTATTAGTTAAAGCTAACGTTATATGATTTGGTCCAAGAACTTGCTGTTTCAAACTTTCCCTCATCTATGCACTCTGTAAATATAAATTCGACCCAATACTTCTTTCGTGTTAGGAACCACATCAACGTCATCTTTAGTTCTGTTAACCGTGTCGGTCAAAATACCACTAAGTATTCATCCATAAAAAAGGATTTAGCGTAGAATTTACTGAAGACTAAAAGCGGTACGTTAAGTTCTGTAATCCACTACAAATATCCGTATACTATCATCGTGGTCAAAATTATAAAGGTATGACATGAAATATGAACAAGTTGCAAATTTATGACTTTCAGGATCCGAGGCGCTCTCAGAAAATTTCCTCCGTCGAATGTATAATTTAGCTGGAGCAAACAGATGTAAGTTGCTTCAGGTCCGTGGATGTTTTTCAGTATTACAATTCCTATAAGGCTTTTAGATCAGTGAAATTATAATTTATAAGCAAATTCTTAAGAAACATCTTAGGATGGATAGGATGAAACATACAACTTGAAAACAGTGTGCTGATGAAATAACACGCATATTACACAATCACTTTAAGGTCTTCAGTAAAAGGCGTTTAAATAATTATTATTTCTTGGATATTAAGGAGTTTCTTATATAGTTTACAGTTTTTCTGCACTAGTGCATTATTGTTATATTCACGTACCTCTTAATATAACGTATTCATGTCAGTGTGACATTAAGTCATTTTGGAATTGTGATAATAAGCGATACATATATACTTGTGTTGCGATGGATTTCGAAATCTGCGCACGCAATGGGGGAATACTTTTTTGACATTCCAGTCGGCTGAACAGCGCTGTCAGCTAGAATTGAGATGTAATTTGATTCAGTTTTCAAAGCTGCTAGCAAGTATAGTCTACATAATTTTAAGGATTGAATACACCATTTTCAGATCACTCATTGAACGCTGATGACTCCAGCTGTGTATTCTCGAGTATTTAGTCTTATTTGATAAATAAGAGGCGACTGATCTTTAGCATTTTCCATTCCCTCATGTGACGTGATGTTGCTTTTGCCAGCGATTTGTAGCGTGGATGGGGTATTCTATGGATCGGCTTCGCACAAGCGTGGAAGATTCAGGTAGAAAATATTGCATTAACCAAGCAAGTGCCCTCCTCAGAAGACTTACATCTTATTTTCTTTTGCTGCTTCCATTTTAATCTGCATCAGGCAGCAGAGGTTTTCGTGCGCGATCACACTGATATCGTTCCCACGAGAAACACATGGCAGCATTTGTGAGCCTGGCATGTATTCGTGGCTGCTTTGATAGCACATGATCAGCACTTTGTAGTTGGCTGCGTTGCACTGGATCATGTTCCCAGTTGATCATATATCAGCTCTATGCAAAACACTACTTGCTTTTCCATTGTAGCGATGGCATACCACATGTTTAGACCATCAGTTAATCATGGGTAATTCAAGCAGAGCACTGACGCTGGAGCATTTATGCAGACATGAACGGACATTCGCAGATTAAAATGCATTGGATTGCACCACATGAACGTCGACCGGGTGGCATATGTGGCAGAGAAACCTTGCCTACATATGGCATCAAATAAGATGTTTGATTGTCAAACCCAGGAAAGGATCACTAAATCCACTTTTCGGAAGCTTACGAAAACAATTACAAGGATCCATTTGCTTTTGAGAAGTTCAGCTTGAAGTCATATAGGGAACATAAGCATTGTGTTATTCCATGCAACATGCATGTGCTGTCAGTATATTCCTGGTGAATGACATATTCTGGCAAATTCTGTGTTACTCCTGAGCAAGACTTTTGTTACCCTGATGTACCCGTATGTGCGCATCAGCGATAGTGGAATCTATGACTGAAAATGAATCAACATTCTATTCCCTGGCGAAGTCTAAGACGGTCAAATTTTATTAGGCCAATTTGCACTTCGGTTGGAGGAATAGATGTACGGACTACCTAAGTAAAGGGCGAAAATTCTTACGAAATCTATACGTTTCCAGGAACTGGGTTTCAGCTGCCGAATAGCGGAAAATTCGGCAAACTCTAGACTATTTTGGTAGTAACTCCAAGCATTCTGCTTTTAATAGAGCACGCAAGGCCGTAGAGTTACAGGGTAGCTTAAGACACTTTCTAACTATGCCATGAGGAAGTTAATCTTGAATCCTTACAGATTAGCTAGCATATTGGAGAACATGCATGCTATCGCAAATGGAGAAAGAGGTATTGGTTATTAAAACGGATAATTTGTCCGGTCTGTCCTGGTTAGACTTGCGTAGTAAAGTCCTAATTGCATGTTTTACTTGGATATTTTTTAGCAAATAACAGTCTTGGTGGTAATAATATTTTAACTATATCGACATCTACATTCACTCGTTCAACAGAAACAACATAAACAAGTTCATCAATATTGCGAAATTTTACCTTCAGTTGTGCGTCTGTAAAGGAGATTGAATGTTTTAAGCAGCGGCACGTCAATAAATAGTCAATGGTTGTCAGTGTTCTTGTATAGTTCACTTCGTGTTTTCTGCAAGCTTAGCTAACTCCAATGTTTAGCTTAAGAATGAATGAACATCGTTTAGCTTACGGGTTATAGCGTTTCCTCAACCAATCTCGTGACTGGTTAGAATGTGAAGGTGGCATGTCAATTGCCGAGATCAACGGGACCACAGAATTGTACACATTATGTAAGCTAGAGAGTCGGAGTGAATGTAGAAATCCTAATTTCAGGGGCTCAGATAGCAAGTTACTTATTAGAATATGGTATTCATTTTGTCGTATTCACGATTTTAATCCGTCCTTTTATGGTTTATAGTGATTCACTGAATCACACAGGCACATGGAAATGCTTTGCGGAATATCGTACAGTCATGAGAAGCAGTTCGATTTTTCATTAACTGGCGCATTTATCTATCCTGTAAAAGTTGTTCTTTTTATTTTCTTCGGAATACTTGGAATATTGAGAGCAGAAGGGAGATCTGTTGTCAGCTCTGTGGATTCCGAATGATCACAAGGTGGGTGCCGGCTGTCGGGAAGCGTTACTACCTCGAAAATCGTCAACTTTAAAGTAAGAGCATCAAGGACTTGCCATGTGCGTTAGATGAGTGTCCAGCAATCGCTCGAAACGTTCTCTGTGAGTCATTGGGGTGCTTGGGCCGACTGTTCTAATCATTTGTTACTGTAAGATGGAGCAGCTTGCGGACGGGCGCAAAGTGTCCTCGGCTAAATAATTTCCATTTGGGGTCACTTGTTCGCGCTGTCAACGATGAGGTAGAAGAACAGCAACTTCTCACTTCCTAGCTCTCCCCTTAGGATACGTCTAGTGTACAGGAGATTGCCGAAACAGCAGCAGTATTTCATGGAGAACAGGTTCAAGGTCTTAATTTGAAGTATGTGGTGGGGATCCCGAAGCTTCGATATCTATTTTAACCCTACCTCTGGACCTTCTCCGTCAGATCATGTTCATATTTCGTTAGGGGTTAGAAGCTGGGGGAAGATTATCTAGGGTCGGACAGACTTGTCAAGCGGACATGATTCCAAAAAGCTTCAGCGTACTTTTGCAGAACTACCATTGCCGAGTCCAAGGCATTCGGATGGCAGCCGCGACCTTCTGCGTGTCAAGTGATGTCTTGAAATTGTGCGAGACGGATACTCCCAGGTCCTTCTCATATATGACAGAGTTGATGAGGGATCATCTGATATGGTACCACCGAAGGTATCGGGGCTTGTTATTTGCATGGTGGTGAATCAGTGAATAATGCAACACAAAGTAAAGTTAGAAACTTAAGAGCCAAATAATACAGAATATCTATTACGAAGGGTATAATTTAGCATCAGGCAGGTCCACAGCCATCCTTAAAATATAAATGCTGAATCAGAGAGATGTTAAGAACTCAAAATTCTCGATAGCAATACATAAAATGAACCAAAATACTAGCATTAGAATACTGCAGTAGCAGAATTACAGAATACCAATGCGATTGCTTGAGCATGTGAGCATTTTTTACTTGATTGCATACATATTTTTGTGTGATTTTTATTACGTGAAACAAAGATTAAAGGCACTGATGAGTCAATATTATTTGCGTGCATTTGTCAGTCTTCGTCTTCTTACTGCGATTTTCAAAGCAAGTATTGTTTCGTGTAGATAATAATTTTTCAACTAATATTTTAGACCTGAGCTCAGTCACGAGCCAGACTTAGTGTTAGATTATTCATATTAGGGTGCAAACGTTTGTGTCCATTGTTTACTTGGTCGCGGTAGAATCTTAATCAGAGCACTTTCAATTAATGTACTTTGCCTCCGTCTTCCTCTTTGTGAAGCTGCCGATTACACAAGCGCATTGCTTTCCAATTTGAGGATATATTTAAAATCGTATGTATCGGGTAAGTTACAATATGCGGAGAGCTTTTGACCTGAGTACGATTAATAAGCCTATTTTGACTGGATCCCACAAGTTTAGAATCAACCCTTGCTGTACAGAATTATGCACCTCGGCTCAAACCAAATATTTGATTCAATGATAATTCATTCGGAACCATAATGTCACATAATAGCAACCAATAGAATTCCACAATATACTTTGCCATTAACTAAATCAATAAGCATTCTGTGTTAAGATAAAAGTATCCATAGAAAACTGCGCTACATGATTAGCCGCCTTATGAAAAGCTTCCAATTAAGCAAATAAGTGTCATATCTATATTTTTTTCTACCGAACGCAGCAGCCTGACTGTTTCTAAGAAAATGACTAGTGACCCTATGAATCATCGTTGCAAGTTCAGGAATAATACTTACAGCATCATAGGATTCCTGCATGAGCATCTTAACCGCACATTTGTAAATTCGCACCGTATATAGTCGACAGTTAATGTCTAGTTTCTCCTAGTTGTGTTAAAGATCCGTGATTCGTTTAGTGGTCCTTGCCTGCAATTAAATTATCGCGCCGCATTGAACGTTAATCCGAACTTACCTAATATAAGTATTCAGTATTTGTACGCACTGCATTTATAATGTACCACCATACTCCATTTTTGACAACTTTAATTCATAGTTTTTAACATTACACAGGTATCTTGAAGAGGCAAGATACAGTGTTGCAAACAGCTTTCGGTTTCGTCAACCAAACTTCAAGTAAGTTAACACTCTGTCGCAAAGGATGTATCCTGTAAAAGATACTACTTATAGACTTAGAAGGTTATACAGCTATCCTGACCACATTTGATCAACGAAATCTAGCGGCCCTCCGAGTGTCCAATAATAACTTGCAAATAGATATCCAGTTATAAAATTAGAGAGCATCTATGTTTCTGGGAAATATGGCAAGGAATTCAAAAATCCATGCTGAGTTTTATGTATGAAAATTCAAGATAGTACTACCTTGACCAAATTGACTTTGACATGTTGCTGTCCCACTTTGTGAGATTGTATGTTTGGGTTGTTGAGCGATAATGTATACTCTCAAATTTGAGCCTGGTTTATCGCACCACCCGATATGCCTTCTTTCTATTTGGTTGTCAAGATGCGGGAGTATATGATGAGATTAAGCATATTCAGAGAGTTTCACCCCCTATGCAATTCCCTTTATAAGGGAATATCTGTACCCAAGATATAGAAACTCATTTCCATCGGATACGTTTACGTGTGTCGTATAAGTCAACTGGGATACCGTTAGGTTGCACGACTATGAATGGCAGCGGAACCAGCATTATGGCTTCAACATTCTCGTAAAAGGTGAAGCAGAATGTGTGATAAAATATTTAAATAACTTGGGCATAGTTTATGGTGCTAGGAGTGAGATCGTGTCTTGTTTACTCGTGGAATGTCTACGTTTTACCTGTATGATCAATTCGCGGTTTTTTGAATCGGCTGTTCAGACATCACTATTCATTACAAAGTTATTGTGATGAATTATGATGTTGCGTACTGAATTAAAATTCATCCGTTTTGCGGTAGACTTTCAGTAGGTATTGTCTGTTAGCATCTGTTTTTCTTAGACCTGTCTTTGCTAGACCAGGGGAAAATATGTATGGGGCAAAAATGTAGTGTGGTGTAGTGTGTGCAGGTGACATGGTTTAAGAAGTCAGTGCAGAAGTTAACTTTAGACAGCTGACTTTAGGGTACAAATCGCAGCCGCCTGTTCCGCATTTTACTTAAACCATCTCAAATCACAACTTATGTCTGAGTAGTTAAGCAGACACGTAAAGAATATCGTTCATTGCCGTCTTTTGCAAAATTTTGTAGAAAAGAGAATAGTCATGATAGAGTTTAGTCATTTCGTACGTCATCTTGTGGTGTTGCAATTGGCAGCAACCTCGTAAGATATATATATATATATATATATATATATATATATATATAAATGAAGATATCCCTATAGCAGTTAATATCCTTAACACAAGCCATAATTTTACCGGCATCCGCCGATGATCCACATAACCCAATACCTTAAATGATAAGTGAAAAGTGCTATTTTGCTTAATGTTAACGTTGTAGCAACAGTTGGTAATGTCTGAAGTAATATCCCACTATTATCTACAACTGAACGGAAAGCAAGTAACTTGCAGTAATTCTGCTATAGCAGCTGGCCTTATTGCAGATTGTAAGTGCTACTTACGCAAAAGTAATGTTCCCCTCGCAGAATTGCACGCTTTACTTAGGTAGAAAAAAGAAAATTTTGCTATTATTTCTGTTGACAACTGATGCGCTGCATTTGGAAATCCTTAGCTTACTGTTTGAATGGAACTAACATATTTCTGGGTGAAATACGGAACAAAATCCTACTCACTTTCTAGTTTTAGAAGCTTTTAATGTTTCACCTATTTTCTAGGTAAGCGATGGTCTAACATCCAATTATTGGGTTGTAATAATAATATTAAATCTGGAAAACGTCAAAGCAATGGCACAGATAATTGCACTACGGAATTAGTACTGCTCCTTGCCAATGCCAAAACATCAGTGCGATTCAAGTATCCCACTCAGATTCACAGACCACTACCCTTCCGCACGCTGTAACTAGAAACACGTCCGCTGGAGACGGGATGAGTTCATGAGGTTGTGCAAAGCTACTACTTTTCTAAACCCCTTTAGAATACATTTGATCCTCTCTTTTCGGGGCAGTTGGCTGCTCCTCTAGCGCAAATCAATTACACAAATATTTTCACTATTTATTTACAGTCACGAGCGACGATTTTACTTTGCTTGAGAAACTACTTGGTCTACACCAGGAAATTCATACACGTAAGTCAATGCAACGCACGCAGTCTCTGCACTAAACTATGTGGTATCATTAGGGAATCCCATTGGGCCTCCGCGGACACTTACCGCTTTGAAGTAATAAGCAGCCAAACCCTTTAACGTTTAGGTTAAATATGTTGATATTCAAGCTGTCGGTCTCAAACGGAAATACATTTCTTACCACCAAAACATACATGCATGCACTTGTGCCGAATCCCGTCCACGAAAACTTGCGACATCAGCAGGTCTATCCAGCCACTTTCCTCATAGTTTTAGTTAGATAGAGCTGTCTAAATGTACCCCTTCATAGCTTAAGTAGTAGTTCATTGTATTCCCGAGAGGTGCTTTCCTAAATGTTTGAGGGCAAACCGAACAGCCTGCACAGCCTCTATTTTGCTACCTCTAACAAGTGTGTTTCATTGATTGCACATTGCGCCTTAGAGATCAAGAGATGTTCCACTTTAGTTAGCTAATTTTTGTTTATTTCATTTTCTAGCGCAATCTAGCCAACGTAGGAAATTTGGTTGATAATTAAGCAAGTTTTACTCTGAATTAATTTAAAGGAGGATTCAAGTACATACATTAGTCCTTAATTTACAACATAAGTGCTAACTTGTATGGGCATATGATATATAGAACCATTTCTAATAACACTACGCCCGGTAGCCTGCATCTGAGTACCCTGTAGTAAAAGTACGTGTGCCCATAAAGTGCTTTCTGAGGCTCACAATTAGCTGAGCTTGGAAATTCAACCTGTGTGTAGCAAACACAACTGGAGAAGCAGTGCAGAGGAATCGACGTTGTCAGCTCACCGGTCGCAACAAATATTAGATGCATTTTGTCAAACCGTATTATCCAACTAAACGGGTTCGTTTTACTTTAAACAGATTCATTCAAAACAATGAATATCTACGTCGATTTGGTCAACCGCTTAGTAGATATCAAACCAGGTCAGTGATATAAGCAATTATATTTCAATGATTAAATCCTTAATGCGTCTAGATTTTAGACCTGGAGCGAAAACTATATCCATGCAAACTAGCAATAAAACCAAACAATAATTTTCCGAGCTGTGTTTTCTCGAAGGGCAAAGTTAGTAAAACAATAATAGCGGAAAGCATTAACTGGTTTCCTACCAGTTGTTGTATACCTGGCCTCAGGATTAGGAACGTGCTAATGTATGGCATTAATGATGACTTGATTCCAATTCTTGCCTACAAATCTTGCCAGGAACTGAAACATTTTAAACCTAGCATGCTACACCGGATTATAGGCTACATAAATCATTTAACGTCGTATGTGGAGGTGTACATTAAACCTGGACAAATTTTATATCCAGTTAAATTTATTCCGTTCTTCTCTTCCGTTGCAGAGTCAACATAAAGTACCAAATTCCCATCAGATACATGAGCGAACTTTCCAAACCTTTTGTACTAATTCGTACATCATTGTAAGGAAATAAGGAAAACAGGCATTGGCTAATAAAACTTGCATCCGATGTTCCGAGTTTTACTGCTATCTTGTATAACCTTTCGTGATGGACGGCAGGTAACCTAGTCGTGATACAGATCATACCATTGTACTTTTCTTCGAGTTGTTCGCAGTCCACAGAACCTCGAATACGGCGTCATGTTAAAGAAAGTTATAGGCGAATATTGACGGCCGACAGTTTTTAATCAAGCCAATAAAGTTTAACATAAGGTGGGTTCGTATGTTTAGTATTTCCTTCTAGTTTCTTTTTGTGCCTACATTTATTAGTGTAGAAGATAAGCTGATGGTTACTTTCGTCGGTTATTTTTCCAAGGTCAACGAATTTGAACTCCGTACTTAAGCAGACCTCCATCTGAAGGGTCGAATGTTATCCTCCGACAGATGGTGCTGTTATCACTTTCACTTCAGTGGAGTATAATCGAACGTCAATGGGACTAAATGTTTGGTCAAGCAACTTTCTAGTGACCGTGTCTAAGTAGAAGTCGCTACTGAGCCGACGCGTATTCAAATGTTTTCCTCCTCGATTTTCCATACTTTTCGATGGTGGATCAGTTCTTTCTCCCTACAATTAGTTGAACTCTAATCAGTGTTACCGTAATTGTTGGTGAATCGTCAATTATGGTTATTTCGTTAAAATAATATGAGGAAGTGGTGTCGACCTTAGCTAATCTGTCAATATTGCGGCCAGCGTAATAGTCGCCATCGACTCTCTAATCTATGGTGTTTTTTGGCGGTGGTAGCTCTATCACACAGTCAAACGTACTTGAGAAGTGACGTATTCCTGTGTGGATAGAAGGGTACTTTTAATTGCCAACTTTCCATTCGCGCATGTGTTGTGCTGGCAGTATTGTTGTGGACTTAAATGTGGTGCGGTTGTTAATTAGAGCACATTTGTTCGACGAACACATTGGCAGTCGACACATCGATAGAAATAAACCAAACGAAGCCTTTCCGATCCAGCTAACCGGTGTAAGCTATCACTAACGACACCATATTGGCTTGCACTGCTGAAATTGGCTAATTTGTGAGGCAGTAATGTGATTCACGTTGAAATCCGCTGTTAGCCAGTTACTTCTGTCCGTATGAATTTATGTTGCTTACTACGACTTTTTCTCTGGCATTCGACCGGTTGAACGGTTGGATTCTTCCGCTTCACTCCTACAGTGGGGAAAAACGTTCTATTAAGCAGTCTTCCGGATGTGAATGTGTGTAAATCCGAGTCGAACCCTATCCAGTGACAACGCGGCGTGTCACCATTTCATTTAGCATAGACATGATTGATCATTATTTCCACTAACGAACTAATTAGTTTAACCCCATTAAACTGCTTACTTGACACTGGCAGCATCAACAGTTGGGAGCCAATAAAACTTATAGAGCTAATTCCAAATTTGTGGCTAGTGAGCCCAGAACAGGAACACTGAATTAATTGCATTGCGTTGTAGAAAAGTTCCAAGTATTGAGAAGTCCGACAGCATGGTTCGTGTTCAAAGCAATAATTAAAGAAATAAACGTTTAATCCTATTGATTTGTGGCACGCCATATTAGGTATGACCGAAATTTTATAAACAACGACGTGTGTCAAAGTTCAGGATACATTACACGCAAATAGGTAAAAATGTAATTTGTACCTATGAGAAGTAATATAGTTATTGCTGGGTTGGTAAAGAGGGTTAAAATTAGGGAAACGAGGGTATTTAAATATGTAAGAGTGCGTATGTATCAGAATTAGGGATGTGTGGTGTATGAAAACTTCGCAGGATGATACAAAGTGCAGTGACTTTATTCAGGGGCGAGACAAATACGCCACGTCACAGTGTTGGCAAGCAGACATTATGGCCTTTTATAGGAAGAGCGCTTGCCAGGCAAATACCCACCACGTCCTGAAACACTTCTTTAAGCTTAATTTGGACCAAATGACACTGGAAATGCTGCTTTCCGAGCGAGTTGTCCGTTGGCTGACGCAGCAGTTTTGTCAGGCTACACCGTTTATGGCTGGAGCCAAAGATACTGGTCGGGGATTTAGTAAAACAACAGCGCATCGATGGATTCAAAATAACATCCGCAAAGTAACTGTTGCTTGCAAGTAGAGTATTCCGTTTTGACGTTATTCGATATCACGGAATGCAACCTACGCAATACATGATCCTGTTGTTCTTAAAAGTAAGCAACGTGGGCGGGTCAGCGATAGAAGTCTGAAGAGCATAGCACTGCTAATATTTTCGGAAGGAAACTAGCTCTGGCAGTACTCAAGTTGCTGAATGCAGTGATCAGCTTCAGCTGCTTGTCAGTTAATTTGTTACCATGGCTAAACATCAGGAGGTGATACCAGTTTTGACTAAGAGTTATCAAAGTTTGATACGTCGAAAAGTGCTCAACTCCTAGATACATTCCACCACACAGTTCAGTGGATTTCAGTTGTGTTTGTTGTAGCAGATAGAACAAGCACTTCAGATGTTTGGTTCTCTATCTTTTTGGGTCTATAGTAAAAATAAGTATCGCATAAACTAGGATTTATAGCCTGGACGTAGTACTCCACATTCGACCGCATATAAGCATTACGCCGTCGCGGGAATTAATAAGGGGGGAATTGCCTGCCAGAGACCAAAATTAGATGCCTGCACGAATGATAAAAATGATACTTTTTCACATTTATGCGCCATTTTTACCAAACCTTAGGCGTTGCTAACAAAAGTAGGGTAAAGGATCAGTTCTAGCTTTTCGGCGTCTAGTTTGACTAACAACGCTGCGCTCACGGGTGGAAAGGACAGCAATTTGGTCCTGTAATCATCTTACGGTTTGCACTCAAGAGTCATCATATGCGCGAGGAACAAGCCCTGAGGTCATCAGTGTTTGTATTTTCATTATTCGCTCTGCCATGATGGCTAAATCTTTCAAATCAGTGGCTGGGTAATCATTAGCTAACATTTGTTTTACAAGCGCGTGGAGTCCCTGCAAGATCATTTGTTTGAAAATTGAATGCTCTGATTGCTTATTGCCTAAGATGGCTTGCATGGCTTTTCAAAACATGGTCGGGGCGCATCTGCCTGGTTTTTCTTCGTTGAGTAAACTTTGCATAGCTTGCACACACTAAGGCTAAGCTCATGAACGAAAAATCTTGACAGATGGGAAGTGTCTATAGGACTTACGCTAACAGAAGCAGTTCGGTTGGGAGGCGGGCAATTTCCTAATGAACCCTTACTACGTGTCGCAATCCAAGACTCACGGCGAGTGATCCAACACGCGAAAATCAACTTCTAAACGCTGTGTCAAGCATTGCTGATAAGCCCAATAGTCTATTCATCAAGAAAGTAACCGCTAAGCAATATTCGTCAAGTTTCAATCCCAGCTCGGCTAGCTCTACCTGATGAGTCTAAATAATGACGAAAGCGTCGATCATGGAGTGCAGGGATAGGAGTGAGCCACATCGAAAACTTTCAAACATTAATACATTTTTATGTATGTGTTTATGTTCAGGGAATGACTTGGATTGTATGAATCAAACCTAGGGGTATTTTACCCACAACTTTGATAAACAACTAGCTACGCTGTCTATTTCCCTAAATTGTTGGTCACTCATGTTCTCTACATAGATGAAATAATAACGACGAACTCGGATACGGTTCACTGGATGGCAAAAGTTGAATCAACTTTCAACATCTATATTCAGCCCTCCACTTCAGGGTTACCAATTTATGGTTGGACATGGTGGTGGTCTGTGTAGTTTTAGAAAGCGAAGAATTATTCGGTATTCCCAATAGTATATTTTATTTGCTACCACAAAATGAAATGAACTGCAGCCATAACGTCAGGGTGAAGAGCAAAACGTAACTAAAGGAAGAGTTGCTCAAATGAGATTTAACGATACGGATGTCACTACGCAGGTTACTATGTAAAGTGTGTGATGTCCTCAATTCCAAATTGAGTTTGGCCAGCTAAATGTTGAGTCTGTGGCTGCCAGGTATTTGGATGATGAATGTAGCAGAATGTGTCTTGTGTTTACTAGAAGGTGCATGTAGTTTTATGACTTGCGGTAGATTTGTGCCTAATGAATGCATGAAGAATGTTGTTTCGACACTTTCCAGATCCCAGTGTCCGACTAAATAATTTGGTTCCCAATGTAGTCAAATATAGTAGGACATTAATGGAGGACTCGATCCATGGTGGCGAGAATGGACTTTAACTTAATGCGCGCATCTGTGCGCCTTGGAGATCCACTGAGCTATGCTGGGTGGGGCATTTTGCGCCTTCCGAGCCTCACAATTATTCGCATGTCGTCGCTCCAGACCAGTCAAAAAGTCCGCGTTCAATCAAGCGCTTAAAGTCAGCTCATGCCTTTCTCTTTGTAGTCCCTGATCTTCGTTTAGACTGGCATGCTTCAACGTGCGCACTTTGTTGCAGATTGACCAACAGGCAGCAATTGCTCAAATAATAGCGACCTTAACGATCGGCATCACTGCAAATAGGAAACCGCTTGCAAGTAGTGAATTTCGTTCTTATCCTGCGATCTTCTACAAGCTACATTGGCAGCATGTTCTCAGTGCGTTTGTTTGAAGAGAAGGCAACTCTAAATACTAGCCAAGCCGTTGTGGGCATTGCTATGAGTTCCGGCTGAATCTACCCTGTTTGACTGGATCCCCATTAACGGTAACCTCTGCACCATCAGACTAGCTGAACCGTTCAGAGATTCGAATTCGCACGCAAACAAACGGTGTCTGTTTCTCATTGCCCTCTACACTCCAACAAACTGCAGGACTGATTCGGTGGAAAATGAATTCTTTCACCAACTAAATGCGCTCCTTCGTTGCAGAAAATATGTGGACACTGTGACGTTAGCTGGCGATCTGAACGCCCAATTTGGAATATTGCCTACTGCTGAACCGCATTAGGCCTTCAACATGGTGTAGGCTCTGTACTGAGCGGTTGCTACAATTACGCGAAGATGTTCGCCTATGTATTGCGAACACAAACAATTTTGCTTCTGTCTCATTCTGTATAATCATATT